TACTGGTCATTGATACTGTTCAGATTTAGTTACTGCTCATACCTTATTACTGATCATAGTTATTTACTAATCATAGTTACTTAATGTTCATTGATACTTACTGATCATAGTTACTCACTGGTCATAGCTAGTTACTGATCGTAGTTAATTACAGATCATAGTTCTATAAATCCGATTGTTCATATGTCAGCTATATATATGTATATATATATAGTCCACCGATTCCCCATGCTCCAAATTATATACTAGTAAAATTATATAGAAGAATAATTTCATAGTTTTATTCAATTAGCTTAAGTTTGTTCCAAAACACATCTCGCACATCTATGCATATGATTCTCAACTGGTTCTAACATCCCCGGAACGAAGTGACGGCTGCCGGCCAAGTATCAGGAATGTGTTGTTTTACAAAAGTTGCAAGTCATTGTTTATTAGTGTTTAGAATTAGTTGCTGATCATACATAGTTACTGGTCATAGATAGTTACTACTCATAGATAATTAATAGTCATAGATACTCACTGTTCAGATTTACTTATTGCTCATAGTTACTTAATGTTCATTGATACCTTCTGATCATAGTTACTTACTGATCATAGTTACTTACTGATCATAGTTACTTACTGATCATAGTTACTCACTGGTCATAGCTAGTTACTGATCATATTTAAGTACTTACTGATCATAATTACTTAATGTTCATTCATTAAGATGTCTGTGTTTTAAAGAGTCTCGCAAAACATTAGTTTACAAAAAAAGGAGGATTCTTTCTAAAAAGCAAGAATAAGATAGTATATGATTCCATACTCCCTTTTTAATGTTAAATATTTGCATACTTGTTAAGTATTACTCCCTTTATTGTCGTTGCAAAATCATAATACCCCCCGTCAGGATAAGAAACAAAAAACGAGCTTCCCATAAACGACTCTTAACCATATGCGAGTAAAAAACCCAAAGGAGTATTGTGTGTATTTCTCTCCTTGAAAATCTCAGCCTTGTGCAATCTCTCTGGAATGTCATGCCAGGCTAGAGCCTAGTAAACAAGAGTGCACCCACACACAGGCCACGTTTATATCAAAACCATATATACTCCTGGCAAAAGGAGAAAAGAACAGACCCAACCAGAACAGACCGTTTCCGTTGCATGACCGTGGCTTCAAGAGTCCTTAGAGAGTCACTGGCGTAAACGAGACAATGAAACAGCAGGACACAGGAAGAAAAAAGTACTATATAATATTAAATGCATAACAGACTTCTTATCAATATACTATTTATATTAGATTTCTTAATAGAAACTTTCAAGCTATAGCTTATAAATATTGATAACACTCTTTGACTGAGACTTACCCTTCAAGGACCTTTTTTTATCCTAAATTTATATGATATATATTAGATATCTTTTCCTTGAGTGTTCTTTGGCAGAAGGAGAGGCCAGAGTCAACGACAGCTGCCCTCATCCCCTCTGAATTTTTGTTTTACAAATCTCCCCCCAATGCATTTTGTTTACTTGTTTGCGCGCGTTAAACATTCTCGGATGCTCCAAGTGCAGCAGCAGCATCCAAGGACAGGAGATCTTGACTTACAGACAGGTGTAAATTATGTAGAGTGAAAAGAAATGCCTGTGCATGGAAAAAAGAAACAAAACAAAAGCAGAACATCACAGATACTGATGCAGGCAGCAGACAGTTTCATTCATATTATTATTATTATTTTTTATATGCCAAAGCATTCATAGCAGAAGCTAGAAAACCAGAGACAGGATGCTTTCTTTACACTGAAGGGAAAATCTTAAGGGAATTCGGGGTCTAAATTAAGAACAGTATTAAATATGAATTTATGAAAAATTAATAAGGAATAGGTATATTTCGTTACTACCACAAAGTCATTACTTAATTTTTGCTTTAGTTTTATTGATAGCAAAGTCATATTTTCTTAATAATGATTAGAGTCTCTTTTTAAAGTCATAATGATTAGAGTCTCTTTTTAAAGTCATAAATATATATTAAACTAAAAAAAATAGCGAATTTGCAATAGAATACATGTTATAAAAATCATATTATTTTTAAAACTATAGAAAACTATAAAAGAGAATTAAACACCTTTAACATATATTTTGATTGTTTTTTCCATTCTGAATATATGAACATTGAATAAAAATATGTGTTTTCAGTTTTTAAAGATTTATTAACATTTATTTTAAGTAGCTTAATGTATTTAAAAGATTTATTTTTAATAATTTTTCCCCAGTGTATAAAAGGCACTGCATATTGTGCCTTCTGTCTGAAGTGTGTTTGTTGATATGCGCAGCGATTTAATTATAAACACACAACACGTGCTTAGTCCATTACATTATGGGAAAGGTGTGCAAACTGAAAATAACCGCACTGAACACTCAACACTCTCGGCACTCGCACAACAACACACACCTCACACACACACACACTGAGCTTGAACTTCGCAGACCACTGAGCTGTGCGTAACTCGTGTGTGTTTTTTAATAGCAAAGTTTCAGGTCGGATCGAAGGCGGTGCCTGTGGCTATATTTAATTCTTTCTAATGTATGCCAATATGGCATTAATCGCTTAGACACGCAACAAACAAATTGAGAGTGGTGGCTATATAATTATCCTGGGCCAGAAAGATGAACAGAAGCTATAATTAAATCTGCTAACTCTTGTTGGCTTGCAAAGAAAGTTTAGTAAATTATGCAACATAAACTAGGGGGAAAATAATAATTGGTAACTTTAGTTGGATGGGTTTCTTATAGTTCTTATTCCGTTATTCATATTCTTATTAATAAATGAATTAACTGGGTCTGTGAGATGATTAATTAATAACTCTACTGATGAAGCACAAGTATCTGTAGTTCTTAATAATAGTTGCAGAGTTCTATAAACAATAAGATAATCAAAGAAATATCTGTGGTTAATTTTGAGATTAACTTTTGACTAATTTAAGATTAAATTAGCTGCCTTTATCTAAATAAATCCATAAGGTTTTTACAACAAAATAAGCCGAAGCTAGTATTAAGATAAGCTTTAGACTTATAAAACATATTTTGTTCAGTTTTTACTACAAAATCTTATAAGTTATCATTCTGTCTACGATTAGCCTCAACATTTTCCTTGCTGCAGAGACGCTTAATTTGTTTTTAAGAATTTCAGCTGTCTTTTTCTTTTGCTTATTGAAAATTTAAAATATTTTTTCAGTCTTGAATAAAAGTCAATCCTCCTTCCTCTTTCCTAAATGAACTTCAAACAGTTTTGCTGCCAATTAATTCAGGTTTGCGATACCAATCAGCAAAATACAAAAATATATATTTACACTGTATTATTAGCCACTTAAAACGTATTAGAAAAAATGCGAAAAGACCTCAATTGAAATAATCAACGCCATTTGCTGATTGCATGGCCAGACCTCATGGATTGGATTGGATGGATGTACATATTATGGTCATGATGGGGCTCTTGGCTCTCGGCAATCGAAATGAACTCTTCACGTCGTCACATGCAATGACCGTTCGTTAGCTCCAGTTTCCCGATTGCCAGCTGCTGCTGCCGTGCATGTTTTCCTTTCCTTTATTTTAGTTTTAGTTTTCCTTATGTTTTATTTTTTGTAGATCATAAAGCATCGATAAAAATCGCTGCGCCGGTCCGGACGGTCAATGCACGCGGTCGTTATTGTTGCATGTGGCGCTGAAATAACGGTGGCGAGGAAAATGCTGAAAAGCTAGCTGCCCCTCACAGTTCGGTGATTGTAATAAAACAAATGCTTGAAATGTGGTCAGCAGGCATAGTTTTCCACAGACCCGTAAAAAACGAAAAACTACACAAAAAAAAGAGTACACTGGGGGAAAAACCAGGAGTCTTAAGTGAGATAGGATTAGCATTTATTAAGCCTTGATTTAATTATATTAATTTAATCAGAAGCCTGTACCGTCTTGGACGAATAATTTGCGACCCTATAAATCATATATATTATATATCAGAATCAACAGCCGAGTCGATCTAGCTATGTCCGTACAAAATGAATTTATTTTAATTTTGAAAATTTTGTAAGGGGTTACATTTTTTAAATTGACAAAAATGTTGATTTTTTTTAATTTTAATTTGAGTATGCAGATTTATTAACGTAATCAAAAATAACATAGGAGTGCTTTCCGAATTTAATTTTCTTTGGCTCAGTTATGACTTTCTTAAGCATAAATTTGTGGAAAAAATTTTCATATATAAATATAGATAAATATCTACTAAAAGAATGGTATTATAGTTTTAGTCAGAAGCTTATAATTCTGTGAAGGAATCATTTCCGACCCTATAATCCATATATATTCTTGATCAGCATCAAAAGACGAATCTTTCTAGGCAAATAGAAAAGGAAATTTTTTTTGACAATTTTTTTCTCTAATTTTTAAATCCTTCAAATTGTAAAAATTTGCCAAAAATCTTAATTTTTTTAAATTTTACATTGAGTATGCAGATTTATTAACGTAATCAAAACTAACATAGGAGTGCTTTCCGAATTAAAATTAATGCTTTTTTGGCTTAGTTATGAGTTTTTCAAACTTTCATTTTTCGTAAAAAATGTCCTATAAATATTGATTAAAAAAATGTCAAAATGTTAAGTTTTAGTTATCATAGCTTTCCAATACGATCCTTTAATTCAATTGTTTCCCATAGTTAATTTTCTCTCATGTTCTTTATCAAAAAAGATAGTTATTTAATTTATTATTTGAAGAACCTTACAAGTTTAAGAATTTGTGACAATGAGCTTAAAAGCAAAGAAATTTGAATCACTTTTACGTAATAGTTATGTATAATTTGGAGAACATTTTGAATGGAAATATGATAAATATATAATTTATAAGTTTTGCCAATGATTTTCCAGTGTAAAAGTTCGCATGCCAAACTAACATTTAGTCCCGTTTTCCATTTACCCCGTCAAATATATATTGACTAACGATTTTTCTATTCCAATTCCCTGGTTTATATACATTTTTCAGGGTGCCGGCAAGGAAATCCGAGAAGCAATCGCCGATCCCTCGCCTGAGGTTACAGGGAAGGCCTGGGCGGCGGTCCTGCCGCTGGTCAACAAACTGAAGCGCTGCTACGAGCACTCCATGGAGCTGGACAAGATCGTGCCGAAGCTGCTGGGCCAGCTGGTGGGCGGCAAGCTGAATCCGACACAGCACCTGGAGACGCAGCAGGCGCTGGTCAAGCAGCTGGCCGAGATCTTGGAGTTTGTGCTGAAGTTCGATGAGTACAAGGTGAGTGAGTTTTGTTACGTGTTGGTGGTGTGATGTGTTGTTGTGCGTGTGTTACAAGCTCTGGTCCATATTTGGAGGTAGCAACGCCTACAACGGTTGGGATTTAACCCATTAGTTGTGTTGGAGGTGGAAGGAGAGCTCTGGGGAGGATTTTAAAAGGAAATAAATTTAATATAATTAGTACGATTGAAGAAAAATGTATTTAAAGCTTAACTTTGATGGATTGTTGACTTAAATTAAATATTTTATTTGTTCTTTTATTAATTGATCAAGAGTATATATGATTTATAGGGTCGCAACTGCGTTTCAAGCTTCTGACTAAAATTATAATAACATTTCTTGAGCCGTTTTTTTTTTATTTATTTCTTATGATAATTTGTTAAACAAATCAAAGTTTAAAATACTCATAACTAAGCCAAAAAGGCATTAATTTTAATTCGGATTGCTGTTCTGTGATAGTTTTTATATGGTTAACAAATACGCATACTCAGTTTTATAATTTTTTTAATTTCAATTTTTGTCAAATTTTAAAATTTTTATTAATGTAAAATTTTGCCTAAAAAAATGGAAAAATTTCGAAAAAAAATTAATTTTGTCCGAACATAGCTAGATTGATTCGTCTGTTAATGCTGATCAATAATATATATGATTTATGGGGTCGCAAATGATTCCTTCACAATGTAAAAGGCTTCTGGCTGAAATTATAAACCCATTTTTTGAGTCGATATTTATCTATATTTTATATGACAATTTTTCCTACAAATCAAAGCTTGAAAAACTGATAACTAAGCCAAAAATGCATAAAATTTAATTCGGATTGCTGTTCTGTGATAGTTTTTATATGGTTAACAAATACGCATACTCAGTTTTATAATTTTTTTAATTTCAATTTTTGTCAAATTTTAAAATTTTTATTAATGTAAAATTTTGCCTAAAAAAATGGAAAAATTTCGAAAAAAAAAAAATAATTTTGTCCGAACATAGCTAGTTCGATTCGCCTGTTAATGCTGATCAATAATATATATGATTTATGGGGTCGCAAATGATTCCTTCACAATGTAAAAGGCTTCTGGCTGAAATTATAAACCCATTTATTGAGTCGATATTTATGTATATTTTATATGACAATTTGTTCAACAAATCGAAGTTTAAAAAACTGATAACTAAGCCAAAAATGCATTAAATTAAATTCGGATTGCTGTTCTGTGATAGTTTTTATGTGCTTAACAAATCTGCATACTGAGTTTTATCATTTTTTCATTTTCAATTTTTGTCAAATTTTAAAAATTTGATCAATGTAAAATTTTGCCTTAAAAAATTTAAAATTTTCGAAAAAAATAAATTTTGTCCCGATATAGCTAGATAGATTCAGCTGATGATGCTGATCAAGAATATATATGGTTTATAGGGTCAGAAATGGTTCCTTTACTGCGTTTCAAGCTTCTGACTGAAATTAGAATACCTTGCAAAGGATGTAATAAATATTGATCTCAGGTGGAGATCATCTTTATATTATTAATAACCCTTATTATATGTTTTATTCCCAATCTTGGTTTTAATGGGTTAAAGTATGTCGTCTTCTTCACTGTAAATATTCCGCCTGTCTGTCTGTTTGTTTACCTTATGTGGGCGCTGTCGACAGTCCATCCGATCCAAAGCAATAACCAAAAGACAAAGTCAAACGAAGCCAAACCAAGTCCCACTTGCTGCCAACTCATTGTGCGCGTGGTTGCATTTTTAATTGACTGACTTCTATATGTATTTGCTGTCTGGGCTAACTGAAGACTAACTTGGCCAAGACGAGCGCGTGCTGCGGCTCATTGATGAAAAATGTTTGGGCCAAGCAAACAGCTAACAGATTGCATGCGTGCCACACTGTGGAGCATCGGACATGGAACATGGCCCAGGCACTTACGCACACGCAAACCCAACGACCGATGGCCGGATGAAGTTGTAAAAAACACAGAGATATGGTTAGTGGGAATACACCAGAGGTTATATAAGTAGGAGAGGTATTTATTATAGAGAAATTATGCTGATAATTGGGGTAAATATAGGAGTAATTTATGTAGAAATTTAACATGAAGCTTAATGTGTTGAAGTATATTTTTACTCTTAACTTTTAAGCATAATTCACATGGTGTTCCCTGTGACCAGGAACACTTGACGCGACAGTTGGCTTTCCAATTTCAATTTAGCAAACAGAAATCGATTCATTTTAATGGCAAATCTCTGTGAGTAAAGCATTTCCCATGGCTCGCTTCCGGTTTGGGGGTAAAACTTTCATCAAAATCAGGAGGATGGAGCTTGGGGGATCTAGGACAGTCTGGAGGGGTTAAGGTAGGGATGTGGCACAGTCATCGTCGGCTTCCAATCTCTGATGTCTGCAACTTGCTGCCCCCCAAGACGACGACGATGATGATGATGATGTTGATGTTAAATGCTGTAAACTGCACGTTCATTGTGTGCTCAAAGTGTCAGATGCCTGGCCACGTTCAGATACATATATTTCTGGCTAGATATAGATATATATGTATATCTTCTTCTTTAATAGTTGTGTGTGTATATAGCTTAGACGTGATTTCCTAACTAACAGCCACTTCCGTTTCGTTTCGTTCCTCTTAAATGGCGGTCATTGTCTCTGAGCTTTTGTTGTCCGCCGGAAAGTATGCTGCATACAATTTATTGACTTTGCTTGTAACTGGCTTCGTTTTAACGACAAGTTTTTATTGGGCTAAAAAGAAAGCAAAAATCTTGACATGGCTGAGAGGCACTTGTGGTGAGCTAGAGGAAGTATTAAAAACTTGAGCAATTCTCCATGAAAAATAGGTGTAAAGAAGTTATTGGGTTTCCTTTTCTTAAATGTAGTTTTCCGGATTCAAATTCACTGCATTTCTCTGTAGTCGTTTTGAAATTTGACCTCTATCTTTTCAGGATCAATCCCTCCAAGAAAAATACACAACGAAATTTATTTTCTTGGCAAAGAACCAAAATGGCTCTTAAGGGAATTTATTCAATTTTTGGCTTCTTTACAGGGTAACATTCTTTTAAGGGGAATATTCCGGCTCTCTCTTCTACTTCTCATCGAAATCTTCACCGACATCGTAGACTGGCTGCAGGCGCCTGGGATATTTACGCAGATAATTGGCAAAATGCTGAGCATATTTGGCCTGAAAATCACGTTGCCTCCAAGCTTGGGCGGGTTCATAGTAATTACCATTGTTGGTGTACACATTTTGATAGTTATTTGTGGCCAGCGAGCGACTGCCACCAATTTGGACTACTTGCTCCTCATCGCGTCGTGAATCGCTGGATTCCAATTCAGTGTTGGGGCGAGGGAGATAAGATTGTTGAAATTCATTTGTGATTGGTGTTGTTGTTGGTGTAGTTTCCTGTTGTTGGTAGTAAAAGTAACCCGGCACATTGTTGTAATTGTGATTGGGATAACGTGCTGGTGGTTGCAGCTCCTGTGTTCTTGATTCACTTCGCCAACTTGGTTGATATGAAGGCAAGGTGTCGTCCTCTCTTCTCCAACTTGGATAGGTTGGTCTTGAGGTATCCCCATAATAACCATTTATATTTGGATACTGTCGCTGCTGTTCTTGGGCACTATACTGATTATCATTGACCACAATTGGGGAACCTGACCATATAGATTGCACTCCTGGAATTGCATAAGCTCCAGCACCGCCGTAAGGTGATGCATATTGAGCTCTCCCACAAACTGCATCGATCATCAATGGCAGCAATGCATATAGCTAAAAATAATAACGAATGATTATTAGAAAAGATTAATCATCTCGGGTGTCGTATGCTATATAATATATATTTAGAGATGAGGGTGGAGGAGGAGCACTCACCAAGCTGACGATCCGTCCTGTTTGCGGCTTCATTTCAGACTGTTGAGAACGATTTATGCTAATAACGTATTTATATGGGGTTTCGCAATAGACTCTCGAGTCGAGACCCGACTATATACACTACTATATAGTACACCTGGCCCAGGCCAGTGCATGATTTTTTCTGTCAAGGTGATTGGATGAGCAACATACTCAACTACTCTACCTGACTCTTAAAACTCGAGGCGGCGGAATCTCTGAAGTTATTTTTTTTTCTCACGCACGTTCCCGATGCAGCCCTGACAGTTTAATTTTTGTTTGGTTTTTGGGCCTGGCCCGGACTAGACTTGCAACAGTTAACAGCCAAGAGGCAAAAGGCATCAGGCACTAGGCACTAGTCACCAGAGGCGACATCAGGCAGCAGGCAAATTGCGGTGTCACGTACCGCGTAATTAGTAATTAGATTTTGAAGCCAACCGTAATTAGAGGCTAACAAGAGCGAGTGTTGAAAAGCCGCTGAATGTGTGTAAGCGTTAACTGACAATACTTGGATGTTGTGTTTGCTGTAACTAAGTAATAGCTACTTGCTATGTGGAGATAATTATAATAATTTAAAATATTAAATATCTTAGGAAAAAAAGGAGGCAGTTTAATATAGGCTTGATGATATAAACATATTTTCTCAGTAAATAATATACTCAAAAAATTGATTGCATAGTAGAAATCGATTTAAATAAATGTAAAACGATTTTTCCGTTTTAAATATTGATTTCCCTGGATGACAGAATGATATATTTTTAATAACTTTTACGCACTCAAACTTGTCCAAATTGTTTCTCAATTTAAATCTATTTTCATTGAGCTTTTCAAAGCCTTTGGTTTTACCTTAAAGAGTGGAAAATAATTGCAATATTAAATAAAACTTAACATTTGATTTTATACCAAAATAGTTTCTTTATTCGTAGAATGAGTATTAGAAATAATGAATAATTTTTTAGAATTTACAAATGTTCAAAATAATAAAAATAAAATAATTTTCAGTTGAAAATATCAGAAGTTCAAGTTTAAATAGGATTTTGAATTTGATCTCAAGTAATCTATAAATTTGGGCGCATGTGCACGATAAAGAAGGCTCCGTCGCGTGGCACAGGAAGTTGGCTCAGGAACTTACCGCCGTCATATGAACCATAAAATAATTTGTTTAAATACGACTTGGTTTCCATTCGCTTTGATAGGTTCATGTCATGGCAGGGAGTTTCGCGGGTTAGCACCTGCAAGTTCAATGAATAATAAATAAAATTATAAATAATAAGGATTAGTTAACACACCATTTTCTGCTTTATATTGGCTAAGGTATCGGATGGAGGCGGCCGACAGAATGGCTCTTTTTGAAAGATGTTTTCGTTTCGGCACTTGACAAGATGAGCTGTAATGAGATTCCTTGCCCGGATCTCATCTTCATTCTGAGTCGGAGCACGGAGTAGGTTTATCCACATGGTGGCCATCATCTTGCAGCGTATGTCTAGATTATCAACCTGACGCTCCAAAGTCTCAATGTTTTGCTTGAAGTCATCGCCGGAATTGGAACCTTCGGCAGATCTTTTTGGTCTCCCCGTCATCATGAGATTTAGGTCTGAATATGGTTCCTTCTTCCGTTGGGGAGCCATCTCTTGCTCGAGTTTATTTGATTCTCTCTTAGGTAGCTTACTGCGGGGTTTTTCCTTATGTTCCCTTTGCTTTGCCATCCGTTCTTCACGTCGGGCTTTCTTCTCGAGTTCTTTCTTCTGCCTCTCCTTTTCTTTGCGCACGTCCTCAAGTTCCTTAAGGCGATCGGATACATCCTTATGAGGTTTTAAATAAGTCAAGGGCTCCACATCAACCGAGGCTCGGCTCCTTCTAATGTTCTTCCTGTGTTCAGAGAGAATAAGTTTACCGAGACGTTTTAACAAAAGTTGAATAAATTTTTAACTTTACCCATAATTTGACTCTCTGCTTGAGGCTCTTTTGAAAAGGCTAAAAACTCCCTTACTAGTGTTACTCATTCTGACGAATTTATGAAACTAAACTGATGATGTGTTGATGGTATTCTCCTAGCTTGCCTTGTTCTATATATATTTTCTCGGTTAACTAGTCTTTAAATGTTATTAATTATTCATTTATAAAATCAACTAACAGCCATATACTTTATTTATTTCGATAGATGAAAACCCCCGCCATACAGAATGACTTTAGCTACTACAGACGCATCGTCAGCCGGCAGCGTGTGGACTCCACGGAGAACATGCTGGTCAGCACGGAATTGGCCAACCGAATGTCCCTCTTCTATGCCCATGCCACGCCCATGCTCAAGGTGCTCAGCGAGGCCACCTCGAAGTTTGTCAACGATAATGCGGACGATGTCCAGAATACGACGGAAACGTTAGGAACCATGGCCAAAGTCTGCCTTCGAATGCTGGAGAATCCGTGAGTTCTATATACTATTTCTATATATAATGGAAAAAATACCATACTAATATCCCTGATATTTGTTTTCCAGAAAACTCCTTCAACAAATCGAGCGGGAGGATACGAAAATGTTAGTGCTACGCGTTATGGTCGGCCTGGTGATTCTCTACGACCATGTCCATCCCGAGGGAGCGTTCGTGCGAGGAGCCCATGTGGATGTGAAGGGATGTGTGCGCCTGCTGCAGGCGCAACCGGCCATCAAGGCGGAGCCGCTGCTCAATGCCCTGCGATATACGACGAAGCACCTGAACGGGGAGAACACGCCGAAGAATATACAACGCCTGCTGGCCGCATAGGAGCGGAGGGAGTGGAGTGACGAGGAGGAGGTCCTTAAAGTTAATTTCTATGTGTATTGCGTATCGATCTAAAATGGTTTTACTTTATTTATGTAATTAGTAGGCTTCTTGTATTATTTGTAAAAAAATTGTAAGCGAGCGAGCGAGGAGGAGGCAGGGCCGGCAGGCAGCCTGTAGTTTTACGTTCTTACCCCCAAGCATTTGTTTCTTTTGCCGCCAGCCAGCCTCCGCGTAAAGTAACGATGTCGTAAGTGGAACGCATATATCAGCAGCAACAATATTTAGTTGATAATCTAGCCCTAATGTTAAGTAATGAAGCAAGGAACCTAAATTAACCTAAACAAAAAGAAAAAAAAAAAAAACAAAACCAATTAGCGCAAAGTTTAAACTGTGTGAGAGATAAATCCTAAATTTTCACTAAAACAGAGAGATTATAAATATAAAGAAAAGAACATTTTTAAATCAAATCTAGAGTATTTTTTTGTACAAGTGAACGTAGCAAAAGGGTGTTAAGGTCTAACTAATGCCTAAATTAAACGAATTGTACGAACTAAAATGCCTAAACACTACAACCACATGCAGAAAGCGGATGCATTTATATATATATATTTCCACGCCGTCAACTTTGATAAACGTATTAAATATAAACAAATCTACAACAACATAAACATGAGCTGCGCAATAATAATATTTTTAAGATTTACAAATAGTAATAAAAGAATTGAAATAAAAAGGCAAAACTTAACGCATACAATTTGTACCAAAAAAAACAAAGAAAAATAATGAGAAAATCACACAAACTAAATAAAGATTTATATATGCGATAAGAGGAGCAAGAAGAAGGGATGATGATGATGATGATGAAAAAAGAAAACTATATATAGAGAATGCTGAATCAAAATAAATATCACGCAAAATCAAAGGGATTAATGTTGTGTTTTTAATTTAACGACTACGACTTTAAACATAATTTAATGAACAACAAGAAAATAAGTTAACTTCGGCACGCTGAAGTTTTTATACCCTTGAAGATTGCAATTCGATCACTAGGAATCATAACAATATAAATTATGTATATTTTTTTTCAAAAACAATTAGGTAATGCCTGCTTTCAATTTATTCACCTATAAATTTTATATTTACATTCACCGTTTTGCATTTTCCTATATTTTTAACAATAGTTTGTATGGCAGCTTTATGATACAGTAGTCCGATATTCATAAAATTTTACACAAAATTCTAGATGAAAATATATAATGTCTATATATTAAATTTGATGAAAATCTGTTGAAAACTAGAAAAGTTATGATATATTTTCTTAAAGTTTTCCTATCGTTCCTATGGAAACTATATATAAGTTTATATATAGTCCACCTATTCACCATGGTCCGATTTATTTACTAGCAAAATTATATAAAAGAATAAATCCATAGTTTCATTCCAATAGCTTAAATTTGTTCCAAAATAAATCTTGCACTTCTGTACATATGATTCCCAACTGGTTCTAACATCCCCGGAACGAAGTGTCTTCTGCCGGCCAAGTCTCAGATATGTGTTGTTACAAAAGTTGCAAGTCATTGTTTACAAGTTAAAAGTTAGGTAGTGATCATTCATACTTACTGATCATAGATACTTACTGGTCATAGATACTTATTGTTCAGAGTTAATTACTGCTCATAGCTACTTACTGCTCATAGTTAATCACTGGTCATAGTTAATAACTGATCATAGTTCTATAAATCGTACGATCGTTCCTATGGCAGCTATATATATGTATATATATAGTCCACCTATTCACCATGGTCCGATTTATATACTAGTAAAATTATATAGAAGAATAAACCCATAGTTTCATTCAAATAGCTTAATTTTGTTCCAAACCGCATCTCGCACTTCTGTGCATATGATTCTCAACTGGTTCTAACATCCCCGGAACGAAGTGAGTTCTGCCGGGCGAGTATCAGAAATGTGTTGTGTTACAAAAGTTGGAAGTCATTGTTTATTAGTGTTCAAAGTTATTTTCTGATCATACTTACTTACTGGGCATAGATACTTACTGATCAGAGTTACTTACTGGTCATAGATACTTCTTGTTCAGAGTTAATTACTGCTCATAGCTACTTACTGCTCATAGTTAATTACTGGTCATAGTTAATTACTGATCATAGTTCTATAAATCGTTCGATCGTTCCTATGGCAGCTATATATATGTATATATATTGTCCAACTATTCACCATGGCTCGATTTATATACTAGTAAAATTATGTAGAAGAATAATTCCATAGTTCCATTCAAATACCTTAAATTTGTTCCAAAACAAATCTCGAACATCTGTACATATGATTCTCAACTGGTTCTAACATCCCCGGAACGAAGTGTCTTCTGCCGGCCAAGTCTCAGGAATGTGTTGTGTTACAAAAGTTGCAAGTCATGGTTTATTAGTGTTCAAAGTTATTTGCTGATCATACTTACTTACTGGGCATAGATACTTACAGGTCAAAGATACTTAATGGTCATAGATACTCACTGTTCAGAGTTACTTACTGCTCATAGTTACTTTATGTTCATTGATACTTACTGATCATACATACTTACTGGTCATATATACTAACTGATCATAGTTTAAAAAACGGACAGGCGGACGGAAAGATGACTCGCCTGTTTATCCTGATCAATAATCTGTACTAGAAATGGTCGGAAATGCCTCCATCACTAAGTTCCAACCTTTTACTAAAATTATAATACCCTGCAAGGGTATAAGAAGAACGAAATCGATTCCTTAAAACTGTTGGGCCCTTAAAGATTTAAAAAGTATCCTGAAAAGCCATCGAAAATGCAAATATAAAAACCATCATGAGTACATTTTTCAATATTGCTTCTTTATTTAAATTTCAAGGCATTTCTCAACTTAGAACAAGTTTGTTTTGCGGAGGCACGCCTTCTCCGTCGATGAGCCTCTCTCTAACCGCAGCAGCCAGCCTCACCCTTGTGGGGCACATTTGGCTCATCGGCATAGCGAACGCTGCGCACATCATGGTGATGGGGCGGGTGGTTTGGAGGATCAAGTTCCATTGGCTTGGCCACATCTCGGGCTTGAGCTGAAAGAGGGCAGAGAACCAATTAAAAGGAGCTGATTACAGAGCACTACCATCTGAATCCTTACCACTGGCCATAAAGAAGGCGATGCTCAGGATGAGAGTGCACAGGGCTAGGAACTTCATGGTTAAAGCTGGCTTGTTGTACAGATTGCTGGAAACTGATGCTTTGGAGCTTGTCCGAGACTCTTTTTATACGAAAATCAGCTCCCAAAACTTAATGAAAATTGGCAAAACCATCTGTTTCGTTGCACAATCATGGCAGCTCATTAAAAATAAATAACTCTATATTGAAATGAGTAGCTTGTTGTATTTGGCAGCGATGGGTAACGCCATAACGAAACACTATAAAGCTTAACAATAAGGTTTTCTTTAGACTTTTTTTTTTACAAATAAAGATTCTATAATTAAACAAAGTTGGAAAGCAGGAAAACGAACTGTAAGGAGGGGGTTACTTCTGATAAAATTTCGTTTTTAAAAACTAGGGTGTCCAAGGGTCAACATAAGGGCAAGGTGCGGAAAGAAAGTAGAAGACTAATTAAGCATTAACTAAATTGATTGTCCTGGAAGTGCCTGGCCGGCTCATGTGCTATTATTGTTACTCTGCCGCGGCTTCAATATCAGCTTCCCCGTGTCATCACAGCTCATATTAAAGTCCCCAAGCACCGTTCGAGTTCTCGACGTGATAATCTGCGGCGCTATTACTAGCTTTTGGATGCCCAGGGTGAAGAGGACGACTGAAAGGCAGAGGAGTAAGTATGGTTACCAAGGTTTATAGACAACTCAATTTGCAATAAAGTTTTTTACTCAAAACATTATTTAGAAATAATTACTTAATTACTTTGAAAACCTTTCATATAAATCTAAGCCTAACCAATATCCCCACATATCTTTTATATAATTGACTCACAGAATAATATGGAAACAATACACTAATGCAAAAACCAAGCAAACACAGTAATCGTTTTTTTTTTTTTTAATAATCAGTACTCGGCCATTAAACCAATTCCTAGATAAGCTCTTTTAAAGAAATACATAAAAGAACAGTCACTTTAGGCTCGCAACAAATAATCTAAAAAATAATCTTATCCAAAAGTTAAGTTCACCTTAAATAATGTACTTAAGTTTTAAATAAGTCGTATAAACTTGCTGCATTAAATTGGATCAGGGAATCGAATCCTAAATCGATCATATCTTGGCCAAAAATAGATTAATTTCAATTCGGAAAGCTATTCTGTGCTAGTTTTTATAGGGCTAACAAATCTGCATACTCAGTTTTTAAATTTAAAAAACGAACTAAATTTTGAAAATTTTAACGATGTAACCCCTTATAAAATTTTAAAAAATAATAATAAATTTTGCCCTGATATAGCTAGATCGATTGGGCTGTTGGTTTATAGGGTCGGAAACGACTCCTTCACTTCATTTTAAGCTTCTGACTAAAATTATAATACCCTGCAAGTGTATAAAAACATTACTTGAAAATAGATTTTGGCCTCGTTTTCTACTTATCGCTTTGGTAAATTGGAACTCTATAATTTGGAAACTGACATCCCCAATCGATTTCGATTTGCAAATGTCAAGTGATATCGAAGGCGAGAACAAGGTTAACCCGTATTAAATAATAATATATTCTTACACAGAGCAAGAGTGGCGATTGTGAAGATGGGATGGATGAAGAGGGACTCGGTCAGCGGGACGACGGTGGTGCGCGGATCACGGAGCCAGTACCACGCACTAATGGCCGTGCACACGGACATGGCGGAGAGAACAACTGCAAGAAGTTCTAGGGTTATTACGGACCAGTGTGCTCCCGCCTGCCATCGCGGGTGAGGGTACTTACTGCGCCAGCGGAACGTTGATGGCCGGTACGAGGAAACAACTTCGGTGAGGCGCCGTTCGAAGGCCTTGAGATCTGCAAAAGGATCCCAGGGATAAACAAAAACAATGTCAGTTATTAGTTGGTAAACATAGTCAGTCCGGTGACAGCCCGTGCGGTGCGGAACTGGTTTTTCGGTCGTAGCCGTGTGACACTTGCCTTCGCAAGCGGATGGTTCCATTGCAGCAATTTCCTCGATGCTCGTGGCCGCCTTGATGCTTTTAAATTTGTCCAGCTTATATATTTTTGCGAAATTTCCGAGATTTGGATTGGATTTTCATAGTTTTACTTTTTCTATGTTTTTGATGATATTCCCCGTTTGCCAGCACTGCGGCGGTAGGTGGCGTTGAACAACACTAAAGGACAATGGCGTAGGTAACAGGGATTGCTAAAGAGATGCACGCAGACTCTCCGTCAGAAAGTCTATTTTTCATTATTTATTTCAATATATATAATATAAATTAAAAACAACTTTATTTTTTCAATAAAACAATACTCGTTTAAATTGTTTAATATAAACGATACATATTTAAACTTAGAAACTGATTTCCTTTAGCCCCAAAAAACTATACACTCTCTACTTCCATGCCGTAAGGTATTTTGTCAGCCTGCTGAACGGTCACACTAGGGCAGCTGTTTGCGAAAAAAGGCGGAAAAGTCGTGTAAAATAACACAAACAGTCTATTTTGCATAAAAAAAAAATAGTTATAGCGCTTAAAGAGCGCGATGAATACCACCAAAGTGCCACCGGAGTGGAAGCGGCGTGTCAAGTCGGAGTACATCAAGATCAGGCAACAGAAGCGCTACAAGCGGGCGGACGAGATCAAGGAGGCGTGGATAAAGAACTGGTAGGTGGCGGGAAAGAGAAGGTGGCTGTCTAGAAGCCCTAAAATTGTCTAAACGTGTAGGATCGTGTTTTAAACATATGTACTTTGCTTTATTCTCACAGGGATGAGCACAATCACAATGTGCAAGACCTGTATTGCGAATCGAAGGTTTGGCAGGCGAAGCCCTACGATCCGCCACATGTCGATTGCGTTAAGCGGGCCGAGGTGACCAGCTACAATGGCATACCTAGTGGTCCACAGCGCATTCCCATCTGCGTGATCAATGCCGTAACTCCCATTCCGACCATGTACACATGGGCGCCCACCCAGCAGAACTTCATGGTCGAGGACGAGACGGTGCTGCACAATATTCCCTACATGGGCGACGAGGTTCTCGATAAGGATGGCAAATTCATCGAGGAACTCATCAAGAACTACGACGGCAAAGTGCACGGCGACAAGGATCCCTCGTTTATGGACGATGCTATTTTCGTGGAGCTGGTACAGGCCCTGATGCGTTCCTACAGTAAGGAGCTGGAGGAAGCCACCAGTCCGGGGAGCTCTGTCAAGTCGGAGGCCCTGGTCAAACAAAAGAAGACCGACGACGAAGACGCGGACATTGAGAACGAAAAAAAAGAAGATGAGAAAAAAGATGAATCCAAAGTGGTGGAGAAAAAGGAGGAGCCAGAGAATGAGTCCGAAAAAAAGGAAGCGGAGACAGGCGAGGCAGGAGCAGATGTTAAGCCACCAGTGGATGATGTTAAGGACAAGCTGCCCTTCCCGGCTCCAATTATATTCCAGGCCATCAGCGCCAACTTTCCCGATAAGGGCACAGCACAGGAGCTGAAGGAAAAGTAAGTCGAATGCCAAAGTCTAGGCGTACGAATATACCCAATTGTTCTTCTCAGGTATATTGAGCTCACGGAACACCAGGATCCGGAGCGTCCTCAGGAGTGCACACCCAATATAGATGGCACCAAGGCGGAGAGTGTCTCCCGGGAGAGGACAATGCACTCCTTCCACACCCTGTTCTGCCGTCGATGCTTCAAATACGATTGCTTCCTGCACCGTAAGTAGAATTTCCCTCAAGCTGGGCTTACTTAATGACTTTACGTTTTGTTTTTGCTTTTCTTTTCTTTGTTTTGGAAAACCCACATATATATTCTTGCCAAAAAAAAAAATCTATACATTCTTATCCCGAACAATTCGAAATTCGAAAATTGTTGTATTGAATTAATTGCAATTTAGGTCACCATGTGCAGGGTGAGTCGTTGTTGTAGTTGTTGTTTCTCGATAACCACACGCACACACTCTCATGCCGTTAGCCATATGTCCACCAGCTCAGCCTCCGCATCCTCATCTCGCTGTCTATGAATATAATATACATATATACTCGGAGCTCGCAAGCTTGGGTCTCGTTTTATTCAAGGCTTCTAACATCCCGAAAGAGAGGCTCTTCTCGTTTTGTGCGATAACGGTTGACCCCATTTTACGAGCTCTGATATACACTCATTCTTTTTCTGTGGATAATAATTGGCTATGTTTGTTGTCACGTTTCTAAATCGAACTCCTTCGGTGTTGCTCACCTCACCTTTCATTCCTTTCGGCTTTGCCTGGAACTCATTTCAGTAACTCTCTGTATTTATCCAAAAATAAGTACCCGATGATAACCCCCTCATGCTAATCCACCAAAAGCGTTTCATGGACATCAAGTCAAGGATTTGTGATTTTGTTTAAAGGTTTCTAATCCATCCCGGTATCTCTCCACAGGTTTGCAGGGCCATGCGGGTCCCAATCTGCAGAAGCGTCGCTATCCGGAGCTCAAGACCTTTGCCGATCCCTGCGGCAACTCATGTTACATGCTGATTGTAAGTGGGATACTATGTCTTAACGATATTTGATTAAACATGTTTGATTTTCTTTACAGGATGGCATGAAGGAAAAGCTGGCTGCCGTCAGCAAGACTCCGCCCATTGATTCCTGTAATGAAGCCAGCTCTGAGGACAGTAATGATAGCAACAGTCAGTTCAGCAACAAGGATTTTAACCACGAGAACAGCAAGGATAATGGCCTGACGGTCAACAGTGCAGCTGTGGCCGAGATAAACTCCATAATGGGTTAGTTCTACAACGTCTCTAATACTTTCATTATGTTAATTCCAAGCTAATCCTCTCCAGCTGGCATGATGAACATCACCAGCACGCAGTGCGTGTGGACTGGTGCCGATCAGGCGCTGTTTCGGGTCTTGCACAAGGTTTACTTGAAGAACTATTGCGCCATAGCGCACAACATGCTCACCAAGACCTGTCGCCAGGTGTACGAGTTCGCCCAGAAGGAGGATGCAGAGTTCAGCTTCGAAGATCTCCGCCAGGACTTTACACCCCCTCGCAAGAAGAAGAAGAAGCAACGATTGTGGTCGCTGCATTGCCGCAAAATCCAGCTGAAGAAGGACTCGTCCTCGAATCACGTGTACAATTACACGCCCTGCGACCATGCTGGTCCCTGTGACATGAACTGCTCATGCATCCAGACGCAGAATTTCTGTGAGAAGTTTTGCAATTGCAGCAGCGACTGTCAGAATCGCTTCCCGGGTTGTCGCTGCAAGGCGCAGTGTAACACAAAGCAGTGTCCCTGCTACCTGGCGGTGCGGGAGTGCGATCCGGATCTATGCCAGGCCTGCGGGGCGGATCAGTTCAAGCTGACCAAGATCACGTGCAAGAATGTGTGCGTGCAGCGGGGACTGCGTAAGGAACTATATATTTTTCTCTATTGAATGAAGATTTCATTGAATTTATTTATCCTTATCCAGACAAGCACCTCTTGATGGCCCCCTCGGACATTGCCGGCTGGGGCATTTTCCTTAAGGAGGGCGCCCAAAAGAACGAGTTTATTTCTGAGTATTGTGGCGAGATTATCTCTCAGGATGAGGCCGATCGGCGTGGTAAGGTGTATGATAAGTATATGTGCTCGTTTCTATTCAATTTGAACAACGATTTCGTGGTGGATGCCACGCGAAAGGGCAACAAGATCCGGTTTGCCAATCATTCCATTAATCCCAACTGTTACGCCAAGGTGATGATGGTCACCGGCGACCATCGCATCGGTATCTTTGCCAAGCGGGCCATTCAGCCCGGCGAAGAGCTCTTCTTCGATTATAGATACGGGCCCACGGAGCAACTCAAGTTTGTGGGCATTGAACGGGAGATGGAAATTGTTTGAATCTGAATCTGATATAACTTTTTTAAGAGAATAAATATATTTTATTGGATTTACTTCAAACTGACTTGGCCACATTCGCTATAATAGGTTTGGGCCGCGACTTGAATATAAGCTTCTTGGTGCAAACAGCTCGGACAGTGTACTCTGTTCTCTGGCGACTCTTGTGCTCCTGGGCTATGGTGTGATCCAGTACGGTTCTCTCGGCGCCAGTGGTGGCATTCAGCATGCTGACATCCTGCGTGGGAGCCAGGCTCGTGTCCAGGAGCCGCTCACCGTCATTAGTTTTGGACTTTTCCAGCACGGCAAAGGGTTTCTCCAGCTTTTGTTCACGACCCTGCAGGATGTGGTGTCCAATGATAAGGATCTGAGGGAGGAAAAGTGTGTTAATTGGTTTCAATTATTAGTTTAGTATAAGTATTACAGGCTGGCCATATTTGTTGTAGTAAAGATCGCCTATAAATTGGTCATGCATGTCCTGGTTAGCCCTCACTTCCAGGTCTCCCTGGAGCTCTATGATGGCCCAATCGCCTTTGCCGGCACTTTGTCTGGAAAATAAATTGATTCATATAATTATAATTAATTATATAAAGAGGAAAATTCCATAATATATTATTAAAAGGTTTCACAAAAAATAACATTTCAAGTTTCTTAAGAATTTTATTCATGCTTCACAGCGAATTACAAAAAGTGCAAGCCCTAAGTCTTAACCCCTGAACTTCTTAAACAGCGGATGCACGCTTCCGATGTTCTTCCTGCGATGCTCGTAGTAAATTGCATCATCACCTCCCGACATGGAGCTGAGGCCGCCAGCACGTTTGGTGGTGCCGCCACCACTGGGCCGATAGCCCGGCTCGCCCGGCAGCTTCTCATCCTCGCAGTCCAGATCGGAGGCGGAGAGAACGAGCTGAAGAAGCTGACCCTGCTCCTCCTGTGTGCCGTACATCAGGTTCGTGTCCGTGTCCATGCCCTTCAGATGAGTAATAACCTTGTAGCTATAACCCTGATTGACCAGGAAACGTTGACGCTTGCGCGAATAGCTCATCTCCATGGTGTCCTGCGAGACGAGAGTGTAGAAGAAGGCGTTGTACTCCTCGGCAATGGCACCTTTCTTGGCACGCAGAATACGTCCGAGACGCTGGGCCTCCTGACGCCGCGAACCGCCGTGCGAGGAGATCTGAATCAGGACATTGGCCTCCGGAAGATCGAAACTGGTGTCGGCCACCTTGGACACGAAGATAGTGTTGACCTGCAAAAGGAAAAGGGTTCAGGAACCTTCTTCTAAAATTAGTCAAGGTTTTTTTTTACCTTGGAGTTAAACTTAAAGTTCTGCAGGATCTGAATACGTTCGTTCTGCGAGGTGGGACCGTAGATAAAGGGTTTGTTCATCTTGATGGCATAGTGCTTCAAGGCAAACACATTATCCGAGAAGACAATGGTCTTGTCGCCGCGCTGCTCGTGGTATTTGATAAGGAACTGGCAGCTGCGGAACTTGGACGGATTCATCACATACAGCAGCATCTTCTTGGATGTCTTAGTGGTCAGATACTCGCGATAGAACTCCGGCGACATGGGACACCATACCTCGGCGCACTGCACGCGGGCAATATAGCCTTTCTTCTGCAACTCCAACCAGTTGGCCTCATATAGCTTCGGTCCAATCAAGAAGTTCAGATCCGCAATCTTGTCATCCTCACGCAGCAGGGTTGCCGTCAAGCCCAGCTTGCAATGGGACTGAACGATGGTCAGGACGCGACGGAACATTTTCGCTGGAATTGTGTGCACCTCATCGAGCACCATGATGCCCCATTCCTGTTCTTGAAGCCAACGCATCGTCTGCTCCGCCTCCCACGAACGCTTCTGGGTGTGCGTGATCATGGAGTAGGTGGTCACCAGAATACCGCAGCCCATAGGCTTATCCTTGGCCTCAGAGGTGAATCGACAAATCATGCTGTCGTCCGCTGTTGACCACATTTTGAACTGTTGTTTCCACTGCTCCACGGAAACGCCGCTGTTGCAAAGGACCAAGGCACGTTTGCGAACCGTGCAGCAGGCAGTGACGCCAACCAGGGACTTTCCGGCACCGCAAGGGAGCACAATGACACCCGAACGAGCTCGGCCGTTGCCAAACATCTTGCGCAGACTCTTCTCCTGATACGGACGCAGAACGGCAGCCGGTTTGAGGTCAATATTGATATCTGGATTGTTTGTATCGTTGCGGAAATCGTACTCCGCAAGCAGTGGATGCTCGATTTCGATGCAACGTTTCTGTATGACCTCGATCTTTTCCTGAGCCACCTCAAAGGATACTGTCTTTAGATTCGCTTCGTCCTCGTCCTCTTCCTCCTTGTCGATCTTTTCGTAAAAGTCTGTGATATCCTCTGGCACTGCAGCTCCGTCGGGGCCAACAGCACCAGGTGCTGCTCCAGCTACTGCGGGATCATCGGGAAGCTTCTCAGCTCCCGCTCCTGGCGGCAGCTTCGTGCCAAACTGCGTGATTGCCTTGCCATCCATGGTGCCCTGGATGAAGTCCTCGCCCTCACTGCGTATAAGTCGGCATTTCTGGATCACAGGATCTTTGAGCAGCTTCTGCAGAACTTCCGGATGAGGAGACTCTATAAAGTACTTGTTGTGCTTGAGGACCAGCTTCACTTTGCCATACGACAGCGTGCACAGTCTGATGAACTCGAGGATGCCCTCGGGAATGCTGGTCTTGCTCAACCTCTTCAGATACTCCACAATGTCGTGCGTTTGCAAGCCCACCGAAACGGCGGCATACAGACTGTAGGCGGTGAGTTTGTACTCATGGATGTGCTCCGGCCGGCAGACGGGCTCCGAGATGGCAATGAGGAAGTCATGGGCATGCTTGTACACCGGTGAGAAGGACTCGAGGAAAACGTGACCATTGGGAGCGACCCAAAGCGGACGATTGCCGTGATCCTGACGCAACTGCATCTGTGACCGGTAATCCTTGGCCCCGTATTCATCCGTATTGATTTGTTCGTCATTGGTTTCCGCATTCTTGGAGGCTGCACCGGGCACACCGTCCGATTCTGTGGCATCCAGGCTGTCGTTGTCCTCCACCAGCTGGGTGAAGGCATCGTCCTCGGCACGTCGTTTCTTCGCTGTAAATTATCTCAGTTATTAGACCAAAGTACTTGGGTTTTCCAATGGACACCCACTTACCGAACTTGTCGGTGCCGCTGCGATCCTTTTTTGACTTTTTTGGCGGCCCCATTTCAAACGGAGAGCTCAAATTTCACCAGGAACAGACACAAAATCGTGAAATTCACCGACAAACCCGGTAGTGTGACCAGTTTGTACTATTTGCCTTATACCGAAAATGGTCGCGCGGAGACAAAACAAAAAGTAATTCCAGGCGAAAATTTGCCAAAAACTATATTAACTCTTTCTTGAAACGTGCCGGATTTCTACACTATCCTGCTATCAAGAAGATATAGTCAACTGATCCAACTACGAAGCACAAAACCAAGACGACAAGGCAGAATCACAGAGGCGATCAGCCCGCATATTTATTGCCGCCTTTTTTGTTTACACTTGTTCACATCTTATTGTTAGTCAAATTTGTACTCCCAGCTCATATACTTACGTTTTCACTACAATGGGCATTTTGTATTAGATTTAAACGAGAAAATAAAGTAAATAAATAAAATGAATAAAAACACAACTTGGCCAGTATAACCGCGTTTCGATATCAGAAATTAACCAAAATATATTAGATTATGTTGCTACCTTAACCCCGCTCAGTTGCCTACAGTTTAAGAGCCACTGCAAATTCAAATTTTGGAAAGATGTTCCGGAAACGTAATAAATTGATATAAATAAATATAATATGTACTGACTAATCCCAAGTGCTTTGATCTAATGTTCAATCTATGTAGGAATTTGTATATTTTTTATTAAAAAAATGGCTAACGACAAGAAGGCGCATAAAAAGAAGGCCGCGCCGAAAAAGAAGGATAAAAAGTCCTCTAAAAGTAAAGGCAAAAAGACAAAGGAACCAGAACAGGTGAAAAAACTAGCAAAAATATGTCGGATCATCGCCGTGGCCGATCTGATCCATGCGCTGTACTTCGCCTTGCAGACCATCATCGGGCTTGTCCTGGAGGTAAATTCTCAAAAATTACTTTAATATTTTAATAAAAATAATTTAACTAATAAATTTTAAAAATTCTACCATACAGTTTAGCGCTATTGGCCTGCTGGCATTGGTGGGTGTCGCGTTTTGGGTGGCGAATGTCCTTCTGTTGATGGTGGGCCTATGGAAGGTTTGTTGTTTATTATATTTTATTTAAAAATATATTTAAAAAAAAAAATTTTTAGCGGCGGCCAAATCTTGTCCGATATTGGCTTTTATTTTCTCTAGCTGGCTTTGTACTGGATATATTGTTTCTGCTTTGGGGCGTTGCGACTTCCATAACCGTGGATTGGGATCGTCTAGGGGAGTTCACAATAATCTTCATCGGCATATGTGAGTATAATGTATTATAACATTTATTCTTCGATATTTTTTAATCATATATATATATTTTTTAATTTCATTTCTAGTCATTGAAAGCGGCTGCATTTATGTAATATATCGCTATTATCAAACTATGAATCCGAAGAAGAAAATATGCTGTAAGCTAAAATCTTAAATTTTATTTTAGTTCATAAATTAAAATTATATTTCTATCAGGCAACAAAAAAGGCGATAAAAAGAACCCTAAAAAGAGTACGAAAAAGGATACCAAAAAGAAGCCTCGGAAAAAGTAAAGGAAAATGTTACGTATATATTTGTTTGGTTGGCGTTGCTTTATCAGTTATATAATTTGTACGATTGTAGTAAATTATTTCCAAAAGCTCAGCCAAATATATTTATATTCTATAAAAAAAATTTGTAAAAATGTCTTGTAAAGAGGAAGATGAGAATAAACCTCCTAGGGATTATCTTCAGATCTCTTGCTTTGTGGTTGCAGCTTTAGAATTAATTCATTCGCTTATGTTTGCTTTTAATTCCATCTACGAATTGTCAGTGCATGTAAGTACATTGAGGTTACAACTTAACAATAAGTGAAATAAGCCATAATTTAACGAATAATCTTATTATTTAGCAAAATCCCTTCAACGTTGTAGCTTACCTGGGCGCTGTGGTATACGTTCTGACTGTTAAGGCTCTCATTGTGGGCCTTTGGAAGGTAAGTTAGCTTTCAAATTAAATTAAATTAATGTTATTACCTATCTTTATTTATATATAGAGTATTCCAAAATTGTTTATATTTTGGTTAATATTTGCTGGCATTGCCACGGCCACCAGCAGTGTCTTACTTATTTGGAATATAATATCCTCGCCCCATTTCGATAGGGATCGCTTGATTCAATGGTCTATTGTATACCTGGGTATTTGTAAGTATATCCTTAAAAAATGCTATTTATTTATAACCAGATTTAATTGATATTTCAACAGTTTATGAATGCGCCTGCCTGTTCTTGGTGCTTCGTTATTACAGAAAGTTTTGTCCTTATAGTCTCCTTGAAGGCGACAACTATGGTCACCGTGAAAAAGGTTAGGAAACTTTAAACTAATGTAATATTTTAAGTTCAATTAAAATGTATAATTTGTTAAAGATATTGAAAAACACAAATCAGAAAGTGAAGACGAGGACGATGATGAAGATGAGGATGAGTACGAAGAGTATGAAAAACCGTCCAAACAAAAGTCCTTAGATGCATATGAAAAAAAGTCCACCCACAAGTCCTTAGAAGGCAGGAAGGAAGAAAATAGAAGACACTTTGTATAAAAGGAACAAAATCTAGTCATGTTTTTTTTTTTGATTATGTTGAAATTTCACACATATCCTTGTCCCTTATGAATTAATAAAAAACACAAAGACACTAAGTGCAAGAATTTCAATTTACTGATCAAATTGGAACTCCTCCTTTGCTACACACAAACAATATAATAATAATAATTGACTTACACAGTTTTCCATCCATTTGCCGATGGCTTCGTGTCGAGACGGCGGGATCTAGTCACGTTGCCAATGGGGGTCCCTTGGAGCGCTGGAGGACAATCCAATCTCCAGGGCCTGCTGACAAAACAAATGCCATAAATGAACGGCCGACAGATGGTCACAGAAACTTGTGAGGCAAAGGACTTCCATCTCACATTGGTTTAGATTGTTTTCAAGGGAATACTAAGGCTATGACTATAAGTTTTAAGGGGTGGAATGGGAAGATAAGAGAATAAATATTTAAGAATTTGAATGGAAGAGAAATAGGCATTAAAATTATAGCATTCCTTTAAAAGGTTAAGCAAAGTTTTAACAAATATTTAAGCTGGCCTAATGCTGGTTTTCTTATAGATTTTATTATTTAATTTGCTTTTTTTATTCCTTCTTTAAGTGCCATAGGAGAATCCTTTAAGGACCACTGTGCAAATGCCTGGGACTTTTGGCAATCAAACGGCATTGATTAACAGGCAGCGAAGGCTCCTTCTGTATCTTCTGGCTCCCAGCATCACTCCCTCCCCCTGACCTGGGACAAGTACGTGCTTATCATCATTATGGCTTTGATTTAGTAGACAACATTGCCAGAACGACGACAGTGCCAGTGTTAGTGCCTGTGATGTGATGAACTCTGACCTGGGACCATGTGGACACAGACGGATGGATATTTAGTGCCCTGCGCCTATTTCATTGCTTTACTGGACTTTATATCCGCTCTGCTCTTTGCAATTATCTCCGGATTGGTATTCTACAAGCATGTAAGATAAAGCGTCTTTCTTCTTTTCTAATTATTTTAACTTAAGAATGAACCTTGATTAATTTAGGGCAATGGCTCCGCCTTGGTGGCATTGTTATTCACCTTTTTTTGGATCATCATCATCATAGTACTGGGGGCAGGCATCTACAGCCGGAAGTCAAAACTGGTACGCTTTTGGTTGATCTTCACCTGTCTGGGCATTATTCTGGACGGACTTATCCTGATCTATGGCCTGATTATGGCATTAGCCGTGAGCTGCGATGGTGTGAGAATCACAGTGCTGCCTTTCGCAGGACTGGGTAAGGATTCATCTTCTCTTTAAGTCTAATTTTAAAAGATTTACATTGCCTTTTTATTTAGCTGTGGAAATGACATTTGTATACATTGTTTATCTATTTTATCCATTTTTGGAAATGGAGTCGGAGTCGGAACAATTATGTGAGCAGGAAAGTAATACTTGCTGCAGATCAACTGCTGGATTTGCAATGGAATTTGAGGATGAAGTCGAACAGAAAGAAAAGCCTCTTAATCGCAAGGAACTGAAGCGTTTGGAGAAAATTTCGAGGGAGCGTATGAAGAAGGAAAAGGCTGCTCTGAAAGAACTAAAAAAACAAATGCGAAATACGAGTTAGATATCCTTATCATATATTTTGTCTCCTCTTTCTCTTGTTTACATTATTATTAAATTATATATTTTATTATATTTATCAGATTTTTCTCTTAAAAAGTGCATCGTCTAGAACAAAGCTCTTAAAGCCTTATCATATTATGGCTGCAAGGACCTCGCACACTCACGTCCGCCCACTGCCAATGTAAAACACAAAATCCTTTTAAAATAATTTACGCAGAGCAGCCGGCAAAGAAAAAATCAAGACCTAGACACTTTTTTGTTTAGAGAAGGCGCCTTGGCGATGCCCTTAGAAATATATTTGTTACATTTTTAACTATATAAAATATAATAAAATAAATAACTAGTTGCAAGTTATGGCGCAGAATGTGTGTCAACGACTCGAAGCTGGCTCAGTTTCATGGGATTAGCTAATGTAGCATCGTGTATATTTCCCATAGAATATTGATAAGGAAAACTGGGAACTGTAGGATGGGCCTGGGTGGAAACGACACCCTCCTTTTGGTTTAGCTCACACTCATTTTCCGGCTCCCTTGCTCTGGGCTTGTGACAGGGCTTGCAATGGGACAACGTTAAATAAAATCGGTGGACAATGTATAGGAATATGAACTCAACAACTGCAAAAATTAGGTGTTATTATTAAATAATTATATTACCAATATGTTACCCACACAGTGCCACGATCAGCAAAATACCATTCCTGATCAGACCCTCTTGGAAGCAGCATTCACTCAAAATCCCGTACAAAAAGAAGCAACTCTCCGTCAGGATGCCCATACAGGAGAAGATGATCCAGTTACGAACATACATGGGCCTGCGCTGTAATTAAACATTTAGAAAAAACTATGATTTTTTTTTATATATATTCACCCCACGAACGCCAATGAGCAGCATCATTATCATCGATATCCAGAAACCGCCGAAGAGTATGGCAGAAATGGTCAACCAACTTAGCTTTTCGTGGAACAGAGATTTCTTATATTTATGGGAAAATAATTATGGTTTCCTAAGAATATCTTACACGTTCTTTTATCATCCTGAGACCCATGACAGTGAAGAGCGAGGCGGCAATTAAATCGAAGCATCCTATTACGTAGGCCCAAATCAGCAGGGTTTTCGGTTTTTGACCCAAATCAAATGTAACCATCTTTTAGGAAAAGCAAAGTTAGGTCTTAAAATTATAAATATATTAAAAATTTAAATGTGACAATTAACAGAAAGCTCCAATATCTAGGTTTTTGAAAGAAAACAGTTCTATATCTATATTTTTAAAGATTTTTATAAACTCTTTTCCTGGTGAGTGTATCAAAGCGGAAACGGAAACAGCAGCCAAGTCTCGCTGCTGCGGCTGTCGCATCTATTTATGCAGGGAAAAAATGACACACACAACTGTACTCTACACATACACACACACATACACATAATGCCTGATGCTGATGAAATACGTGCGGCGGCTGCGTACACACACGCACACACCAGCCATTACTCGTCCCTCGAGGACGAGAGAGAGCGAGCAGTGGGGGGAATCCCCGTTGACAAATATAATTTACTTTTTTCGCGCTCATTTGCAACTCGATGGGGCCAAGGAAGTTGGAGCCCAAGCCGATGCCCCGGGGCGCGAGAAAAACCTTTTTAAACATCTCACTTCCAGTTTAAGTTTTTCGCACAGCAGGGAAAATGCAACATGTGTAAATATGTATATACAACAATGTTTTAGAAAATAATACAAGTTCTTTGAATTTGAAGATTTTAAGGGAATTTGTTTAAGAACAATGGAATATGTTTTCATGGAAGAAAATCATCAATATTTTTATATGCTAATTTTTTGGGTGAATTATAGTTTTTTAAAATATTATAAATCAGCCAAAATGAATTCATTTTTATAAAGAAAGCGTTACTGTGCTAGTTTTTATAGCGCTATCAAAACTGCATACTGGGTTTTTAAACTTAAAAAAATTTATAAAATTTTTTAACTAAAAAAAAAATGTTGTCCCGACATAGCTAGATCGATTCGGTTTTCGATGCTGATTAAGAATATATAAGGTTTATAGGGAAATTGCTTTTCCACTATTTTGGAAGCTTATGACTAAAAGTATATTATCCTGTGATTTTGAATTTCTCATTTCCTTAGGTAAATTTGTCAGAGAAAATTCATTTCTATATTTCAATATTTTGCAAAGAGATAGGAAAATTACAAATAAATACAACATGATAAACGCCTTGACTGCCTTCGGCCTGGCCATTGGCTGGATGGACATTGTGGGTGTCCTGTGCTTCGAACTAGTCATGTTCTATATGATGCGACGTCGACGGTTGGATGAAAAAGTGGATGATAAAGTGGACTTGCCATCGCTGGAGGAACAGCCAGTAGACCACAAGACACGGAACTCCCTTCCAAGTAAGTTTTATATTTGTTTTAATAATTAAATTTTACATTTAATAAAACCCAAACCCCAAAGACCTGTTGAGCCGGAAGCAAATGATGGAGAGCGAAAATGCTTGGATATTCTGGGGCTACTTGTTGATGCTGAATATGTGGATTGCGGTTTGCCTGCTTATGATAGCCGGCATCACAATGGTGGGTTTTTCTTGTTTTTTACAAATATTTCATTTACTTTACTATTTATACTCTTCAGCATAAACCAGAACTTATGACTATTTATCTAATTTGGTGCTTCTGCGGCTTGGTAATCGATGTCCTTATGATTATATGGTGGATCTTTGAGCTCTTTGTTGGCGATGCTATTGTGGCCATGACCAATATCCTCATCTCCATACTGACCTTTGGTAAGACTTGGAATATATATCCTAACACGGCTTTATATTTATCCCTTTCCAGCTGTCGAATTGGCTTTTGTTTTGATCATTTATGCCATCTACCTGAACTTGTCATGGTCACCGGATGCCGATAATGATAAAGTCACATCATATTTTCACTGGTTATTGCTGGAATAATGTTTTATCCAATATTTTGAATGTCTTGTAATTTTTAGTATGCATTTTCCTAAAGAAAGAACTCATTAAACTGCAAATAGCCAGAGGTCATAGGTCATCGTTCATGCAGAAAGCATACTAGTGTCTCTGCATCGCAGCTTCCCAGTTTCATCGACTGCTTTGTATTGTAGTTTTTAATGGTCTGCCAAACGGAAATTGATTCATTTCCGTTTTTTGTTCTGCGCTTCCGTTTCTGTCTGCCGCCAGCGCCACCGTTAAAGTCCTGGCAAGGACTTGAAATCAAGTCAAAGCTGTTTTTAGTCCTAATTCGGCATCTAATTCTATTTATTTGGACGGCGAACAAAAGTGCGGGATTGTCAGTGACAGTGACGGCAACTGTCACTTGCAACACGATGCCAAAGTGAAAAGCAAAATATTTCTTCTTTATTAAACATTGCTTGAAGTCCGTTTATTTTTTATTTTTATTTCCATTTTAATATCCTGGACGAGGAGAGTTTTAAGGGTATATGAGACTTTTAAAGGAATTTTTAGCACGCATTTCTGATACTATAATTTATATAAATATATAAAAATAATAAGCCCAAAGGCTTCATTTTATGTTCAATTTTAATTGGTTTTAAAATCTTAATCAAATTTCGGAGGCATCCCAGGATCCGTTTAAGCATATATTTCCAATTTCTAAGACAAATTCTATCCCGATCGGACATTTATGAAGCTCCCAAGAGACATTTAAGTAGCTTCTTAGCAAGAAATTGTTGTGCCGCCTCGAAAATATGCTATGGATTTTATGAGGGCCTGAGGGCACCGGGTGCTTGCTGGTCGGGACACTTTCTTCTATAATATTTTTGTGTTGTTTGCCAGTTCTTTTGCCATGCGGCAGTGGACGTCCTCCAAGGAGCGACTGGCTGCTCAAATTTATTGTTTGCAAATTGAAATTCTTGTCGACACGCACGAGCAAATCCATTGGGAATGCACAGCACAGCACAGCAGAGCTCCACAGCAGCAGGAGCAGGAGCAGGAGCAGCTCGTCAGCGTCATAGTCAGCGGCAGCCGAAGCTCTGAGGGATTGGGACAGAAGCAGGAGCAGGAGCAGCAATAGGAACAGGACACCCCACCACCCAGCCCCAAACGACATCGACGACAACGGATTTGATGGCTCGGGCAGCTCATCATGACTTTTTAGTATTTATTAAGACTCTGATGGCCCCATCAAACATATTTCGAAAGAATATATAAACAAATATGTTCGATCCAAAGGGAGGTAACTGAATTTCCATAGAATTCAAGACTCGCAATGAGCTCTTCAGGCCAAAGTGCTCTCGGAACACGTGTCTAGATGACTCACTCAAGTCGATACTCCATCGAGGACCCTCTTTTGGTAATCAGGTTAACCTAAGAATTCCCAAGAGCCATTTGCTATTACCTTTATTTAAAAACTTTTTCCTGGCTTCATTAAGCTTTTAACTTTTTGTAAAATGTAAAAAGAGTTTCGTTTTTGTAATGGGATTTTTGATTTATTATAGCTGGAAATTAAAAGTGAAATGTATGGACTACTAAAATTGTCACTATTGCCTAAATAATATAATTCAGTTAAAATTCAGCTAGAAAAAATCATTTTAGTAATCTTCTAATTGCATAATAAAATATATTAAAGTATTACAAGTCAAATAACTTAAACTAAAATTGATGTATAGGAGAGGGAAAGAGTTCTTAGAGGGAGGTGACTTCTAAGTTTCCCTATTTAAGGCCATTTTCATCTGGCTGAATGGATTAGTCGACTGGAGATATGCGACCACTGTACTGCTTGGTTTTACTTGTCTTTCTCTGCTGGATGGATACAGGTAATATAATTATTATATATATTCTTATTAAAAGAGCTAATTTAATATTTTATTTCAAGGCCAAGCTAATCCGTTAGCGCCTCAAAATACGCGATACCCCAATCTTGATGTAAATGAACGAGAAGGTAATGGAGGAGCAGGTGGACCCAATAGAAGACCTAGGAGAGCATATGACGAAACTGGCGGATTTGGTGGCAAATATACTGGAGGACCAAGAAGGCCCGGACGACAGGTAAAATTTGGAGGCCGTATAATTTGTGGACCGCAAAGAGGCTAAAAGATATAACGCTTAAAAATAAAATAATAATAATCATTAATCATTAAAATCAAAGCAGGACAAATATAGTATTTAATAAAATATGCAATAAAAAGGCAGTATAAAGTTTTCTTTTATACCCTTTGAAGGTATTTATAATTTTACTCTGTGAAAAAAACATTTCATTTATATTCTTTCTCTTTCTCTATCAGAATCGAAAGCTGAATCGATCTAGCCAAGTCCGGTTAAAAAAGAAATATTCAAAATTTTTTCGAAATTATTTTTACATCATTAAAACTGTCAAAATTTTACAAAGAATTTAATTTTTTTAATTTTATATTGAGTAGGCAGATTTATTAACCCAACAAAAACTAGCATAGGAACGGTTTTAGAATTGAAATTAATGGTTTTTTGGTTTAGTTATGAGTTTTTAAAGATTTGATTTGTCGAAAAATTTTTGATATAAAAAGTTAAAGTTTAGTCATGATCGATTTTCGATTCGATCTTTTAATTCAATTGCAAACTTCAAGGGTACATTAACTTCGGCTTCCGGAAGTTAGTTTCCTTGTTAGAATTGTTAGAAATTCATAAATACTTTTTCGTAAAATCTTATAAATTAAAGATATCTGTATAAAGAATTTAAAAATATTTTTACACTGGAAACCCTTCTCAAAAATAATAAATTCCGGTGCTTAATTGCCCAGAAAAAAGATACACAGGTGAGGTAGTAAAGCATTTCTCAGAGACTGAACTTCCTACAAAGTGCCATAAATATTTTACTTTTATGATATTTTCCCCTCTTCGCAACTAATTGATTTTCTTTGCTGCGGAGAATGCCTCACATTCCACCTGGCCTGGCGATGCCGCAAGCAATTTTAATTAAATTATATAAGAACTTCCCCAACTCCGTTGTCGTCCGGCGGGCAACTGACTCACCTGACCCCCTGACGCACCTGACTCTCTCTTCCTCACCTGTGCCGGCATAATCAATGTGTGTCGGTGTGCTCAGCTCAACTATTCAATACTGAATGCACTTAATTTTACGCGGGGAGAGTGTGAAAAAAGAGGAACCATCAAAGAATGACAAAGTCTACGCAGGAAATTGATTGATTTCCGCCAACGATGGAAAATGGTAAGGAAAAACGAGGAAAAATATGGCCTTTTGTATGGGAGTTTATATTTTTTTTCCCCCTCGAAATCAAGAGGAGAGAAAGTGGAGGTTAAGCTTTATAGCCAAGTGGGATTTTGTGGCAATTAGTTGGAGCTCGGGCTCGGGGTCCAGAGGAGGGCCAGTGGCCACTGTGTATCATTGGAAAGCCCAATGTTTTGCCAAGCCAAACACCAACACTAAACGCACGTGTTACCGTTACTCCTGTGTGTGTGTGTGCGTGTCCTGCAGGACTTTGAACACAAGTCCTTGTGGCGGCAAACATAAACATAGACACACAACCCACCGAGTAGCATAACGCGGCACTCGCTGGGTTACTCTCTACTATATGTGTATGTAGCCTTTTAAGTGTGTTTTTGGCACAGTTTTCGGGTGTCCTGTTTGCATATCCTTGCCACTGTGTGTGTGTGTGTGTGTGTTGGGAAGTTAAAAGCAAAAGCTGTGCTTGTTACACGCTCAATTAAACCCAAAATGACGACGCTGGAAGCTTAAGTCACGCTTTATATAGTTTTGCATTCAAGTTGCATTTGTCGCCCCAAAAGTCGGATGACTATCTGTGTGCATATCTGGGTTAAAATACGACAGGCGACAATAAAAAACAAGGCTTCAACTTTGTTTTTAATGGACACAATGTTGCAGAAAGATTTCTTTATATATAATAGATAAGGTTGAGAAACTAGGTCTTTAAATTGGAGTTGTTTTAAAATATTAAATAGGCTCAGTATAGGTTATTTTCTTTAACTTAAAGTAGTATATTTAAGGCTCAAGTTCCTTATTTTGTCGCCTGTGCAATTTTCTCATTGTATTCTGGCAAATGGAAGTGCTCTTCGAGGAAGTCAATTTGTTAAGCAAACCCGGTGGTTAGGGAGCACTCTCTATATAGCACCGTACATGTTTATTAAACAACTTAAAAAGGGAGCTGCACTCAGGGTGAGTACACTTGTAGGTGCAAGTATGGAAATAGGACACAGAAACCCACTCAATTTCCACCCGCATCGCATCGCATCGCATTGCCTTAAGCAAATTATCGAGCACGCAAAATTGCTTTAGGAGAGAGCGTTGGCGATGGCGGCGCACAAAAGCGGCTGCCAATTAGCGCTCTGGTTGGTTCCTTCTGTACTCTATAATGTGCTTAGTCAGTGAAGGACCTTTGGGCGGCGCTCAGGTGCACACAGGTGCCACAGGACACGTGCCGCACTCACACGTTGACAGTTACACGGTCCGCCAACATTTGTCGCTGAATTAACACTCACCTACAATTGAAGAAATATTTTGGTTTTAATTTTTTGTCTAAAATGCTACACATTGTAATAAATTAGTACTTAATTTAAAGGAGTCTTATAAAACGAAAAAGGCTCTTGTTTAATCCTTGATTGAAAGTTTTAAATATATTTTTATTTAGTTACAATTTTAATTGTTTTCTATGAACAACTATGTATGTTTTCGATAGCATATATAATCTATAGATCTATATCATTAGATTTTCTCTAACTTCTTAGCAGTTACTTCTCCCAGTGTGCTGTAGGGCCTGCAACATTGTTTTCTCGTCTATATAGTGGAAAAGTTGCCCCTAAACAGGACATGACACACTCACTCATACCCATAGAAACACAAACATGGTCGCACTTGGAATTGCAAATCAGTCGACTAATGTGTACATAATCAGTCATGTCCCAACATGTGAATTCCATTAGTGATACACGGCCATGCAAACAAACAAGCATTAATCAGGCCAGGACGTGGGTGCGAATGAGAGGCACCTTGCTTGAGGAGGGCCTGGGATCGGGATCAGAATCGGGAGCAGGACTAGCATGGACTAGTCCTC